TGCTTTCTTAGCACTTTCACAAAGTCTTGAGTTTGTAATGACAGTCTAAGTGCATCTTTTCCAATTATTACACAACCCAAATTTGGTCTGTGCTAATAAACCTTAAGAAAAATTAAAATCCACATTTTAATATTAGAAGTCTATTTAATTGTAAGTTAATTTCGCCTGTCAATAACTTTCACCTATATTTTTCATTGAGTCTGCATTATAATTTTCCATTTATTATTGTGAACATCCTTTTCATATATACCTGTAATCTAATGTAGACCATGGCTAGTAGCCACCCAAGCTCTAAATCTGTAGTAGCCCACCCACCAAAAGAGAATTCTGGTGTGAGCAGTAAACATTCTACGTGGAAGGTCAAAGTGACAACCTGAACAAACACTGTCTTGCTGTCTGAATCACTGCAGTAACTGGAATCTTTAAGAAATGAAGACCTGCCGTGTCTGCCTATTTCTTGAGAGTAAGTACTGACCTGAAAAACATTCCTCGGCAAAAGAGCTTATCCAAGAAGGCAGTGCTCTAAATTCTGCTCTGCTCACCAGCAACCAGGTAAAATTTATTTCTCTCAGGATTTTTTTTTTTTTTTTTTGCTAATTAACTGTTTTCTAGATGAGGTTATTATGTTGGTAAACTATTTAAAGCCATTATGATGAAAATTGCCAGGAAATGAATTCACACGGTCTTGCTGCCTCTTGATTTTTTTTTTATTTTTTTATTTTTTTATTTTTTTCCAGGGCTTTGAAACACTGCTGAGGTTCTGGCTTACCTATCTTTTCTTGCTATTCGTTTCTGTCACACTCAGTAATTGGCCTAATAAAGGCAAAGGCAAGAATTTATTATACCCTGGGCAATACTTAAAATCAACTTTATTTGCTGGAGCAGCACTTCTAATCTACAAGCTGCTGTATGTTTTGACAGTCCTTCCAAATATTAAATTTGACTCTATTAAATGTTAAATCTTATGTTTTTGATTGCTGCTGTTTTTGCAGTTTCTAAGGCAGACTAGTAGTATATAAACATATCATTTTAATTGAAGCTTTTGGAGAAACAAGTTAAGCTGTGGCTATATCTATTTTGTTACTGCCAAAATCCACAAAAACTCTGTGATATGAAGACTAGTTTCTGTAACGCTTTGTGAATTAGTTTGGAATAATTCCTGTGATGTCTTGAGAGAACAAAGATGAGAACTATTCAACTTTTCATACCCCTTGCACGCTTAGGATTTGATAAATTTTCCTTAGGCAAGTTTGTTTAAAATGGTTTGCAGAAATACAGTAAAAATTAAAACCAGGTTAGATTTTCATGCAGTAATTTCCACTGTTGAATCTGTTTTTCTACCATGTATTAGAAGGTACAATCACTCTCAGAAACGGTCTCAAGAAATAGTACTACATAATCCTGGAATTGTTTATGCAGGAATTTTTATTCTTGGAAATCTTTCAGTGTTAAAGCAACAAGAAAACATATAGAATGTCCTTTGGTGGAATCTTATTACACTTGTTATATATGTAAACTGATATTCTTTGATGCCAGCACGTTGCCCATACAGAGAAATCTCTGCACAATTAAATGAAAGGTAAAAGAAAAGGACTAAATAAAAAGTAATTTTTCTCTTATCTGATTAGAATTAAATACATTAACAAATTGTCTGGTAACACAAATAGGCAATAATACAAAAAATCTACATTGTACATTATTTCAAGAAAAATAACTTCATTTGAATACAAAAGGATAAATACACTTTTTGTCCTATAGCCACTCTTGTACAGTAGGTGAACACGGCATCGTACTGATGCGGTGCTGCTAAGGTATACAAGGATATGACTGGCTTGAGTTTTATTGAGGGGGCTGTTACACATGTGCATCACTAACATCAGACAAAGAAATCTTTCAACCAACAAGGGTTACAGAGCAACGTTCACTAAAGCACAGGTTGGAGAGGATTCAGGGACTGAAGCAGGCCAATATGGCAGCTTTTACAGATTTCCTTATACCCACAATGCACTGACAGCAAAGAATGCCTTTATTTGGTTGGTCCACACACTGGGCGGAGGTACAGCAGCGCACCAGAGAGGAGTAGCAAATGTTTTTCGTTTCCCTTTCCGTTTCGGGGCTGTCCAAGCTGTTTGTCCTGTGTGAGCCTGGCAGCCAGCACTGGTTGGGCAGAGCAAGAGCTGCCAGCCCATCTCCGGTTGCGGTGAGCAGTCTTGACCTAGAACGCTGTCCATAACTGATTAATATGGCTTAGTTCAGTTAGGCCTTCCAAGTTTGTATGTGGATTTTTTTCTTTCTTTTTCCTTTTTGAATTTTCAGTAGCAAATGCTTGGATTTTGTTTTCTTTTCATGTGGCACGTTCTTTTGAAGCAGTCCAAATACAATGCCATCAACCATACGAAGCCTAGCACATGTGAAGTCTGGCTGCTCCTAGTAGGGCCATCAGCAGTAATAAGGGACTGTGGGATATTGCCCCCTGGGCCGAGCTTTGGCTGCAGCCTCCTGGATCCCTTTCACACTTAAGCTTCTCACACAAGATGCCAGTGTAGGCTGGAGGGCACTGGCACCGCACGTTGTTGATGCATGTCCCTCCATTCTGGCAGTGCAGGAGCTCGTTGTCACACACATTTGCTGCAAGACAGCAGGGGAGGGAGCGAGAGAAAAGCAGAATAAATACCAGTTCATCTACAGGAAAAAGTCTGCATGGAAAGCAAAATTAAAACATCATGGCTCATCTCACACCTCCCTCCTCTTCCTGAGACATGGGAACAGGAGAAGCGATCTGGTTTTTAAACACTTCACATTGGAATTTTGGTATTTTATTTGCTAGTTTTCTCTTCCATCTTTTTTAAGCAGTAGTCTTGGGGAACCTTATTGTTCACTTCAGATCATTAATTAATGATGAATTATGAATTAATATTAAGAATGAAATAATAATGAATTATGTATATTAGTACCTGCTTTGTGCCAGTGTCTGCATTTTTATAGTTTCTACTAAAGTGGAACTGTAGGGATGCTGTTACTTGAAAGGGAAAAGGTATCCAAAGCATTTGGGCAACACAAACAGTGTTAAAAATGTAACATGGCTTCACTAAAGTAAAAAGATCTGTATGAGAAGGCAAGATTTTATAACCAAGAATTGTGTGTATCAATGATCTGAATAAAAATATGCAAAAAAGATAAGACAAGCGCAGGCAGGAAAATCAGCATGCTATCCAATGGGGATTTTACGCTATGTGCATATGGAAATAAACGATAGTTATTTCCATTACAGATCAAATATTTCTTCTTAATTAGATTTGCTACTTTGGTACACGGGGCAACTGGTAACTCAGAACTATCTTGGTTAGACATTGTAGCCTGATAGAATGACTTCAGAAGTTAGATTTGACAAAAGTTTTGAGAGAAAATAACACAGGCAACAGTTCTACAGCTACATTGTATTTTCTATTTGAAAATCTGGCAGCTTTGTTTTTTTAACTATCAAAATATTTCACTTGTTAAATGTGTAGACAAGAGGAACATAGTACTCGAATGTGCCAACTGTTTTCTTTTGGAGAGCAACAATGGTAAAATATGTCCTACGTATACAGCTCTGTCTTCCACAAGAGTGTTAATTTTAGTAAAGATTTGCACCTCCTATTTAAGCAGGATGTGACAGAAGAAACTTTCCCTCAAGGAACTGAAGAATGGTTTGGTTCACACAGTCTCAACATTATATGCTGTTTATACATATATTAGCCTGGAAATAACCTTAATAATTCAGACTAAGGGAAAATTATTCTTAATTTCACTTAAAGCATTCTATTTAGCTTTACGAAATTGTGCAGTTTTATAGATGTTAATTTCTTCTTTAAAAAAAAAAAAAAAAAAAAAAAAAGCAGTATTATCAGGACTAAAATCCAAACAGTCCAAGGCCTTAAGTGATGCAGTTCTACATAAATCTATACAATTTTGTGTTCCTAGAATGTTATTGGCAATCTTTTATGTCCAGGCCTTCATTCAAAAAAAGGAAAAATCCTGACTTTGGAAGGATGCTGAGAAGGGTTTTCTAATGTTCTGCATCCAAGCGAGCCAAATAATAACACAATGTTAGAAACTTACACAGATCTAATTGACAGAGAGCAGCTAAATTATTTGTCTCAATGATGCTGTTAATAATCAAATCCCCTTCCTGAGAGCTCTGGGTTAAAATTTTTTGTCCTGTTTCTGAACTGTCATGTCAGGATCTGGATACTAAGGTATCATGTAGGTGACAGAAGTATGTCTGAATTTGAATGTTCTCTTATATTCATTGCAACAGTGTTTATTATGAAGAAGAAATAGTAAATCATCACCAAATAAGTATGGTGAGCTTAACGACCTAGATAAATATCAAGGTAACAGGCCAAAAAAATGTTTTTTGAAAGTCAGTATTTGAGGTATATAGGCTCAGTCACAATAGTTATGTATTTAAAGCTGACCTTGTTATTCAGGCTTCATATTCGATTTTCATATGGGTAAATGTATGTAATAATAATAATTAAAAAACTGTCAGAATGTCTATTGTGCCTATTTGCTCTGGACTACTCATTGCTGGGATGCTTCCTGCAAATTAGGCAGCAAAAATGGTGAAATATCTGTCCCACCAGTACTGACCATTGTTTGATTAATTGAGAGAAAATCAATAGTCAATTAAATACTGCTTTTTAAATGGCAGATATTTCACTTCATGTTTGTCCCTGAATATATTATCTGTTGTCTTCTAAGTATTTGCTAAAAACAAAGTTGTTTTCCAATAACTTTACAGTTATCTTGCCAATCATAGCTTTTTGTCTAGGAGGCCGTCCACCCAGATGCTGGTTGTCGTGTTACGGAGTGCTGGATGTGGGTGACTGATGTGGCTCTGTGCTCCATGAGGGCTGCTCTCCCTTACACACTGATGCAGGCTGATATAAAATGCTTGTGTAATTACTGTTGCCTACAAAATACTGGATACAGTGTTACAGATGTGAAGTTTTTAATTCAGACTGTTAACATATTATTAAAAAGTTTTCTTTCAAGTCCTTAAGGAATGAACCAAAAAACTTCAGTATTTTATGCATAGTTTTAGAAGTTTGCCTGCAGAAATGCATTAAGAGTAGAGTTTAATACAGTACATACTGTACTACATACAGTAGAGTTTAATGTTCTTAGTACTTGCAGCTGGAAAGTCTTGTGTTGACAAAGATTTCTTTAGTTTTTCTCTTGCACCCACATGTATGTATCATGTAGGTAACAAATGCAGTCATTTGGAAGGGAAACAATTCTAAGATGGAATCTCTCTCCCCCTCTCCCACCTCTCACCTTCCAAATGGCCTGGTGAGGATTATATTCAAGACCTAAATATTAACTATTTCTTAGCAACCATTTTTATGTTTATTCAGCTTAGGATTTGGATTCTCGACCGCTAATGAGTGCAACACATCAGCAGCACGAAGCACTTCCATTGGAGTGTTTTCACTGAAGTCTAGGATGAAATTTATTCATCAAATAAAACAAGTCAACATGCTGCCAAGTATATTAGGCAAGTATATTAACTGTTGTTTGGAAAATTAATAATGTTTCTAATGTTAATCTGGTATTTTGCTAGGATATGCATTGTAACATATGTATTTCAGAAGCAGCTCCCTGACTTACTCTGAGGAGGTGGTGATGTGGCAGCTGCTGAGCAGAGCAGGGAGAGCCAGGACCTTGGGCTGCCTGCTCTGTGTGGAAGCCCAAGAAGCACTGCTGTGGGCAGGTAGGGTTGGTGGAGTCCAGCACATGGGTAGCCCTTAGTCTTCTCTTTTCCCTGAGCACTGAGCCTGAAAACATGAGGCTTTCCTGCCCGCTGCACCCCTCCTGCATTCTGTTACATTTGGGCTATGTCCCTGCCCACTCTTAGCAAAACTTTGTCTCCGCTGCTGAGAAGTGCTGAACCATCTTTGCCTTACCTTCATTACTGGCTATTAATTGTAACAGTGTAAAGCCTTTTTTCTCTGTGTATCAAAATGAATGCAAGAAAGCAAGTATAATGAGAGTGTCTGCACCATTTGTTTAGTGCCTCTGAATTAATGGTGAAAGAATTGCTCTCTCTGTCCTCTGTTTAGGCAATAGAGGCTTAAGTTAGTGGTGTTTTTTTTTCTGTTTTTTTTTTTTTTTTT